ATTCCCTGCCTGCAAATCTCTTCGTAACGCTGCTTGAAATCGGTTGTTTTCTTGTCGAATTGAAAATGATCCAGTCTCTCGCAATCTATTAAATGTCAACATAAACACTCTTCGGTTTGGCACTCTTCTGTTTGGAAATCGTCGTGCATATTCTCGCACCGCCTTTAAAGCATTACCGTTGCAGAAACCGTATACAAAAACCATATCAGCATATTCACTATTAGAATACGTACGCGGCATATTGCAAAAGACAAAATTCATCTACTGTTAAAGGCTTTCAAAGAGCGACTGACAAATTCATAACAGAAAGTGGAAAATGTAATCAAATATGTCGGTGCTAGATATGGCAAGAAATGTAAACATTTTTTTTCGATTTCTCTGAAACGGAGCAAAAACGAGCATATGTCTATAGGACTTTTTTTCTTAGTTTTTTACTCCTCTACACGCTCCCGAAGTTTTGCGATTTAATTTGGAAACACCCTGTATATATAACAGTAATGATAATAATATATTGTATTTTATAATTTTATAACATTCACATACCAAATTGACTTTGTCAATTAAAGACATTTCATTCGTTTTGTTATTATCCATTGTAGTTATATTTATTTTAAAATTAGACAAATTATATTATCAAAAACATATTATTTCTTAAAAATACAGAATAATACAGTTTTGTGGAAGTTAATCCTCTCCGAATAAACTTACCAAATCCACAGCAACAGCACGTAGAGAAGAGAAATATGAACTGAACCTTTTAGGAGAAACATGCAACACGATAGCAGTGTGGTGATGGGCAGTGTGGGAATTATTCTCGCATGGGAATATTCATGCGCATGCGTAAGCTGACGTCACAGTCGCGTGTCGGCTGCTTTCACAGCCGTATCTGCGACAATTAGCCGTTAGGTGCCCGTGCCCCGTAAAGGGCTCTAAGTCTTTACGAATTTTCGTGCATTTTTTGCGAGAGGTAAAGTTCACATGTTTTATATATTTTATGTACAATGTTTTTGTTGGAATACTAGTAAGGTTTTCTGCAGTTTTCCTTACTCTCGCAACGAATGTTGGTATTCACGTAATAAATCAGCTGCAGACGTAAAAATTAACAAACAAATACATTTCTTTATTATGATTTGTATTAACTATTTATTCTATTTGTTTAAAAGAACTTTCTTCTCTTTGTAACTCCCTTTATATTTCCTTCCTTGCTAGGGGCCTAACGATACCTCAGATCTTACCCAGATACATACATTACTGAGCAGCCATAGCGTTTGTTCAGTGCGCATGTGTCACTTTATTCCCACACTGCCCATCACGGCACGATATAGTAATCCGAAATCCGACTTTCATAGACAGCACGGATTGTAATCTGGATTGGTCTAGGGACATTTAGAGTCATCAGATTGAGTACTACTGCTCAATCCGATTTAGGGATTCGATTACTTCACGTAAACACTCTGCACCTCAATCGAAAACGATATTATGCCTCTACAATGGCAGTATCAGTAATGGCTTCTTTTTCTCATTTTGCCGCGCGGCAAGTGTTTCCGCGTCCAGTGTACAGGAGCCATTACATCCCTAGCTACAAGTGAATGATCGATCGATATAATGGCTGCGTTCAGCAGAGAAAGCAGCTTTGCAACTGTTGTAAAATTCTTCAATA